AAAAGAAATGCATACACAGAAAGCAATATAAATGTAAAAGTCAGCAAAATGTGGGTAATAGAAAGGAAGAAATGAAAAACAAATTAACAATTGTAAACCGCTTTGAGACTCAGATCTGCAGTGAAAAGGCGGTATATAAATAAAGATTACTTCTACTACTACTACTACTAAATGTATTTTTTCCAACTGTTCGAGGTCTCTGTTTGCTGCATGACACCGACCTTCAGCACCTGACAGCCCTGCTGCTGCTGCTTCCTCTGGCTCTTCTTCTGGGTGGTTGTACCCTGTGGTCTGCTCCTCCTCGGGCCTTCGCCTTGGCATGTTCCCGGAGCTGTCACGGGGAGTGACGTAGGGCTCGAGGAAGGACATGACCACAAGGTACTTCCACGTCTGGCCTTTCCCTGCTTCTGCACCACTCTTCTTCACCTTCTCCTTCTCCTTCCTGCTCTCCTTAGCATATGTGTCCCTCAGATTCTTCCACCGCTTTTTGCAAACTTCCACTGAATAAACACATCAACTCCATCCATCCATCCATTTTCTTCCGCTTTATCCGTTGCCGGGTCGCGGGGGGAGCAGTCTAAGCAGAGACGCCCAGACTTCCCTATCCACACACACTTCCTCCAGCTCGTCCGGGGGGACCCCAAGGCGTTCCCAGGCCAGCCGAGAGACATAGTCCCTCCAGCGTGTCCTAGGTCTTCCTCCCGGTGGGACGTGCCCGGAACACCTCCCCAGGGAGGCGTCCAGGAGGCATCCGGAACAGATGCCCGAGCCACCTCAACTGGTTCCTCTCGACGTGGAGAAGCAGCGGCTCTACTCCGAGCTCCTCCCGTGTGACTGAGCTCCTCACCCTATCTCTAAGGGAGCGCCCAGCCACTCTGCGGAGGAAGCTCATTTCGACCGCTTGTATCCGCGATCTCGTTCTTTCGGTCATTACCCAAAGCTCATGACCATAGGTGAGGGAGGGAACGAAGATTGACCGGTAAATCGAGAGCTTTGCCTTTCGGCTCAGCTCCCTCTTTACCACAACGGTCCGATACAGCGACCGCATCACTGCGCACGCTGCACCGATCCGCCGGTCAATCTCACGCTCCATTCTTCCCCCACTCGTGAACAAGACCCCGAGATACTTGAACTCCTCCACTTGAGGAAGGACCTCTCCACCCACCTGAAGAGGGCAGGGCACCTTTTTCCGGTCGAGCACCATGACCTCAGATTTGGAGGTGCTGATTCTCATCCCAGCCGCTTCACACTCGGCTGCAAACCGTCCCAGTGCATGCTGCAGGTCCTGGTTCGTTGGAGCCAACAGGACAACATCGTCCGCAAACAGCAGAGATGAAATCCTGTGGTCCCCGAACCGGACCCCCTCCGACCCCTGGCTGCGCCTAGATATTCTGTCCATAAATACAGTGAACAGAACCGGTGACAAAGGGCAGCCCTGTCGGAGGCCAACATTCACCGGGAACAGGTCTGACTTACTGCCGGCAATGCGAACACAGCTCTGGCTCCGGGTCATACAGGGACCGGATGGCCCTCAGCAGAGGACCCCCGACCCCGTACTCCCGGAGAACCCCCCAAAGGACACCCCGGGGAACACAGTCGAACGCCTTCTCCAAATCCACAAAGCACATGTGGACAGGTTGGGCGAACTCCCATGAACCCTCGAGTATCCGATGGAGAGTATAGAGCTGGTCCAGTGTTCCGCGACCGGGACGAAAACCACACTGCTCCTCCTGGATCCGAGATTCGACCATCGGCCGTAGCCTCCTCTCCAGTACCTTGGAGTAGACCTTTCCGGGGAGGCTGAGGAGTGTGATCCCACGATAATTGGAACACACCCTCCGGTCCCCCTTCTTGTAGAGAGGGACCACCACCCCGGTCTGCCACTCCATTGGCACCGCCCCCGATCGCCACGCGATGTTGCAGAGACGTGTCAGCCAAGACAGTCCTACAACATCCAGAGACTTTAGATAATCAGGGCGGATCTCATCCACACCCGGAGCCTTGCCACCATGGAGGCTACCAACCACCTTGGTGACCTCAGCCAGGGAGATGGATGTATCCGCCCCAACATCCTCAGCCTCTGCCTCTGAAACAGAGGACGTGACGGGGGGATTGAGGAGAACCTCAAAGTATTCCTTCCACCGCCCGACAATATCCCCAGTCGACGTCAGCAGCTCTCCACCCGCACCGTACATGGTGTTGGCAAAGAACTGCTTCCCCCTCCTGAGGCGCCGGACGGTTTGCCAGAATTTCTTCGAGGCCGACCGATAGTCATGCTCCATGGACTCTCCGAACTCCTCCCAGTCCCGGATTTTTGCCTCTGCAACAGCCCGGGCCGCGGCACGCTTGGCCTGCCGGTACTGGACAGCTGCCTCAGGAGTCCCCCGAACCATCATGGCTCGATAGGACTCCTTCTTCAGCCTGACAGCATCCCTTACTGCCGGTGTCCACCACCGGGTTCGGGGGTTGCCGCCGGGACCAGCACCAGAGACCTTGCGACCACAGCTACGAGCCGCCGCATCGGCGATTGAGGCAGAGAACATGGTCCACTCGGACTCCATGTCCCCCTCCTCCACCGGGACCTGGGAGAAACTCTCCCGGAGGTGTGAGTTGAAAGTCCGTCTGACAGGGGGCTCAGCGAGACGTTCCCAGCAGACCCTCACTATACGCTTGGGCCTGCCAGGTCTGACCGGCTTCTTCCCCTGCCAGCGGATCCAACTCACGACCAGGTGATGATCGGTTGACAGCTCCGCCCCTCTCTTTACCCGAGTGTCCGAGACACGCGGTCGAAGGTCAGATGATACGACAACAAAGTCGATCATCGACCTCCGGCCTAGGGTGTCCTGGTGCCACGTGCACTGGTGGACACCCTTGTGCTCGAACATGGTGTTCGTGATGGACAAACTGTGACTGGCACAGAAGTCCAACAACTGAACACCGCTCGGGTTCAGATCAGGGGGGCCGCTCTTCCCGATCACCCCTCTCCAAGTGTCACTGGCGTTTCCCACATGGGCGTTGAAGTCCCCCAGGAGAATAACGGAGTCCCCGGGCGGTGCACCGTCCAGTACCCCTCCCAAGGACTCCAAGAAGGCCGGGTACTCTGCACTGCTGTTAGGCCCGTAGGCCGTCACAACAGTGAGAGACTTGTCCCCCACCCGGAGGCGGAGGGACGCGACCCTCTCATTCACCGGGGAGAACTCGCCGCCTCTCCCCGCGGGAAACACCAGAAAAGTGGAGCGTCCAACCCCTCTCAAGGAGTTGGATTCCAGAGCCCAAGCTGTGTGTGGAGGTGAGGCCGACTATCTCTAGTCGGTATCGCTCAACCTCCCCCACGAGCTCGGGCTCCTTCCCCCCCAGTGAGGTGACGTTCCACGTCCCAAGAGCCAGCTGTTGTGTGTGTGGACTGGGTCGTCGAGGTCTCCGCCTTCGACTGCTGCCCAGTCCTCTCTGCACCGCTTCGCCACCACGGACTTTCAGTATAGAAAATGTGCTCGGTTCAGGTGGGAGTTAAGAGGTGTTGGTGGGGCGTTTAGCATGAACCGCGCCGAAATTTGATCGAGTTGCAATTTCTTTACTATCCGTCATAAAGTGAAAGGAGCCTGTGCGTCCTTTATTTAGGACAAGACATTTTTAATAGCCTATCACTCAGGCGAGCAAAAACCGAGCACGTTTTCTCCAGTGTTCAATAAAAGATACTTAGTAATTAGGCCAACACATTTAAAATAGTTGCTAGACTGTAATAAACTGTTGTAAACGTCACAATCTGCACCAACCAAACTGCAGGAAAAAAATGCAACTTTATTCAGTAACGGAGTAATCTGATTCATATACGTTCACGTTCAATAACGCACTTTCTGCTGGCTATCCCATACTGTAGAAGAAGTCAGAAAGGAACTTTTGAGAAGAAGTGTTTTTATTAAAAAATAAATAAATAAAAGTAAAAATAAGTAATAAAGTAAAATACAATTCTATTGTTACAGTACTTACAATACAGTGCAGTAAGTTAGTACAGTGTTTTACAGAGTCAATCCTTTGACTTTAAACCGCGTTTTGATAGGCCCGAAGTGAGCAACAAAACTCACCGCACGTCACTGGGTGGGGGTGGGGGATGGGGGTTGTGGCACAGTCTTGTTTGTCAAATGGTCGCTATTGTAAAACACACAACTCACACTGAGAGAGGGATTCAGACTGCAGACATCACTTAAGTCCAAACTTTATCAGGACTTCTCTTGTACTGCTTTTGTAATGAGCTCATACACATGAGGAAAAGGCCAAAAAAAGGCGACGTAACGCCGCCCCGCGCGTGTGATGCATTGTTTACTTTTCACTCCACAAAGCTAGAGATGCGCTGATTATATTCATGGATGAGTCTTAGTCTGTAGAGTTCTTAGTTTTGTAGGATGTAATATGTTTCACGCAGCTGCGTGATTCATGAAAAGCGTGAGTGAAGACGACAAAACGAAATGGGACCTACTGTACATTCAAAATGCAGCAGCTCGAGTCCTGACTAGAACCAGGAGGTACGACCACAATAGTCCAGTTCTCAGGTCTCTGCACTGGCTTCCTGTGGCTCAGAGAATAGACTTTAAAACAGCTCTGCTTGTGTACAAGTCTCTCTATGGCCTTGCACCAAAATATATTAGTGACATGTTAGTCCCATATGAACCAGCCCGGACTCTGAGGAGCACAGGGACTGGACTCCTGTTAGTGCCCAGAGTCAGAACTAAACATGGGGAGGCTGCTTTTCAGAAGATTCATGTTGCTAAAATTTGGAACAGTCTTCCTGAAGATGTGAGACAGGCCTCCTCTCTGACAATGTTTAAAACCAGGTGTAAAACGGTGCTGTTTAGCTGTGCATACAACTGAGGGATTTTATATTTTTATCTTTCTTTTTAATGTTCTGTGATTATTTATGATTTTAATGCTTTCTTGTTTTGTTCAGCACTTTGAATTGCCTTGTGTATGAATTGTGCTATACAAATAAACTTGCCTTGCCTTGCCTAAATAGGTTGCCACATTTCCCTCGTTTTGCTGGTCTCCTCGTTTTGCTGGTCTCCTCTGGTCTCCTCGTTTTGCTGGTCTCCTCTGGTCTCCTCGTTTTGCTGGTCTCTTCTGGTCTCCTCGTTTTGCTGGTCCACACTGGTCTCCTCAGCGGTCCAGCCCTGCTTGCTCCAGTATCTGAACTGCTCTTGGTAGTGGTAGTAGGTGTGTGTGTAGTGGAGGTCCCAGCTCGGCTTCAGCTCTGGATGAGACCAGGGAGGGTCCAGCTCTGGGTTGAGTTCATATTCAGGATTTTTCTCCAGCCAGTGTGACCACAGCAAGGCCTCGCCCTGTTCGGCTACAGGGACAAAGGGAACAGTGGGGGTTATTGTAAGAATTACCCATCTCCTTTTTTTGGACAAATAAATCACTGTTTTACTGAAAAAAAAAGAGCTGATACTTATATTTAAACCAGATCGATAAAGTTTATCTGTTTCACTTGTACATACAGTGCCTTGCGAAAGTATTCGGCCCCCTTGAACCTTTCAACATTTCGCCACATTTCAGGCTTCAAACATAAATATATAAAATTTTAATTTTTTGTCATGAATCAACAACAAGTGGGACACAATCGTGAAGTGGAACGAAATTTATTGGATAATTTAAACTTTTTTAACAAATAAAAAACTGAAAAGTGGGGCGTGCAATATTATTCGGCCCCTTTACTTTCAGTGCAGCAAACTCACTCCAGAAGTTCAGTGAGGATCTTTGAATGATCCAATGTTGTCCTAAATGACTGATGATGATAAATAGAATGCACCTGTGTGTAATCAAGTCTCCGTATAAATGCACCTACTCTTTGATAGTCTCAGGGTTCTGTTTAAAGCGCAGAGAGAACCATGAAGACAAAGGAACACACCAGGCTGGTCCGAGATACTGTTGTGGAGAAGTTTAAAGCCGAATTTGGATACAAAAAGATTTCCCAAGCTTCAAACATCTCAAGGAGCACTGTGCAAGCAATTATATTGAAATGGAAGGAGTATCAGACCACTGCAAATCTACCAAGACCCGGCCGTCCCTCCAAACTTTCATCTCAAACAAGGAGAAGACTGATCAGAGATGCAGACAAGAGGCCCATGATCACTCTGGAGGAACTGCAGATAACTACAGCTGAGGTGGGAGAGTCTGTCCATAGGACAACAATCAGTCGTGCACTGCACAAATCTGGCCTTTATGGAAGAGTGGCAAGAAGAAAGCCATTTCTCAAAGATATCCATAAAAGTCTTGTTTAAAGTTTGCCACAAGCCATCTGGGAGACACACCAAACATGTGGAAGAAGGTGCTCTGGTCAGATGAAACCAAAATCGAACTTTTTGGCCACAATGCAAAACGATATGTTTGGCGTAAAAGCAACACAGCTCATCACCCTGAACACACCATCCCCACTGTCAAACATGGTGGTGGCAGCATCATGGTTTGGGCCTGCTTTTCTTCAGCAGGGACAGGGAAGATGGCTAAAATTGATGGGAAGATGGATGGAGCCAAATACAGGACCATTCTGGAAGAAAACCTGTTGGAGTCTGCAAAAGACCTGAGACTGGGACGGAGATTTATCTTCCAACAGGACAATGATCCAAAACATAAAGCCAAATCTACAATGGAATGGTTCACAAATAGACGTATCCAGGTGTTAGAATGGCCAAGTCAAAGTCCAGACCTGAATCCAATCGAGAATCTGTGGAAAGAGCTGAAGACTGCTGTTCACAAACGCTCTCCATCCAATCTCACTGAGCTCGAGCTGTTTTGCAAGGAAGAATGGGCAAGAATTCCAGTCTCTCGATGTGCAAAACTGATAGAGACATACCCCAAGCGACTTGCAGCTGTAATTGCAGCAAAAGGTGGCGCTACAAAGTATTAGCGCAAGGGGGCCGAATAATATTGCCCCACTTTTGAGTTTTTTGTTAAAAAAGTTTAAATTATCCAATAAATTTCGTTCCACTTCGATTGTGTCCCACTTGTTGTTGATTCATGACAAAAAATTTAAATTTTATATCTTTATGTTTGAAGCCTAAAATGTGGCGAAATGTTGAAAGGTTCAAGGGGGCCGAATACTTTCGTAAGGCACTGTAAGGCCCTGTTTACACCACCTCACCTCTGCTCGACTCTGCTCTACTCTCTCCACTGGTCCCGTTTTAACTGGTACCTGGTACTTCTTGGCCCTGGTTCTATCCAGGCTGAGCTGGTAATGAATTGTTATGACTGACTGGCCAATGTTTATCTTAAAGGAAAAAGGGGGAAAAGTCTTTTGGCCCTCAGTATAACCAGAGTAGAGTCCAGTTTAAATATGAGATGAAGCCATGCAGGCACCATTTCAGGAGAGGATTGGTTGAGTGTGACTTCTCTGAACATCTCCTACGGGGATAAATAAAGTATCTATCCATCACCACAGTTTTAACTTAATGCGAAAGAAGGAGATTTGAACATACACTAAGCTGGAATCAACTTATATGGGCATTTTTTCCAGCAGCGTTAGCTTTGTGCCATAAAAGGGGTGGAAACAGTTATTGAGACAGTTGCTAAGAGAAGATGGGAGTGGTCATCTGATTGGTCAATCCTTTTATGGGTCATATCTGGATTTACAAAAAAAATATCACAATATACAGTGTGAGTGTGACACAAACAGGTACAGAGCTAGAAGAACTTACTTTTACATAAAAGGTGCTCAGTCACAGTGTGAAGTAGGAGACCAGGGGAAGACCTAGGACCATGTTCAGGACACACAGCTGGCCTCGGAATGAAGTGCGTGTTGACGTTGAACTTTACACCGTATCATGTGAATAACACAGGTACAAAATCACAACAAATGCGGAATCAATGAAGACACACGTCAGACTTTTATTTTTAGTTTTTTTCAAAGACAGAGACACAGACACATGCGGCTGGACGAACCAGAATGGACGGAATCAGCAGTGCGCCCCCCTCCCCCACACACTTATTTTCACATTCAGAGCGCTCCAAGGCCGAACACCAAGGCAAACACTGTAAATTAAAACCTGTTTGTCTGTGTAAAGGTGAGCTGTGTACGTTCTAGTTGAGCTGGGGCCAACTTTGATTCAGCACAATCCCCCCGCCACCCCCCAGAGGACGCTCAGTGCTATCACATGAGCTTTTTTCAATTGATGGTCTCCAAATTGTGAATTTCTGCCATAAAAATGTAAGAAAGTAAAGCAAAGTCAAAACACAAAATAAACTATCAAAACATCTGTACAAAAAACTGTACTTTAAAAAATAAAACAATTTTGGTTCTTAACATATGTTGTCTCCGCAGACATCATTTCACATTTTTCCTCCACACTGGCCCCTCCCCGCTACAACACACACAGCACTCACAGACAGTCTGTAACTATCTATAATCCTCATGTCACAGTTTCTCTATGTAACAGAAAAACATTTAAACACATTTAAATTGTCAGCACATTAGAGAATGTAGAGCACTAGAGCTGAGCGGATTGTCAGAAAATACCATGAAACAATTGTGAAGAAGTATGTCACAGATATTAAGTGAAAGATATAGATTTATTTCATTTTTTAAGTGTAAAGTTGTGCTATGCGTAATATTCATGTATCTTGTGCAGTGTGCTCCTCATTCCTGTTCTGTAACTGGTGATGCAACATTGACATTTCCACACTGTGGGTGAATAAAGATCTCTTCATCTTAAAGGCCTCCACCAGATTTGGACTCTTTCAAATTGGTCGAAAACAAAATTTCCTTTTGGGAGTTTTGAGTAACAGCAGCAATTATTTAGAGAGGATAAAAGTCAATACAGCAGGATAATCTTAGTACAAGTGAGAAGTGATTATTGAGACCAAATATGTTTTGTTTTATCCATAAGTTAAAGAGAGATAAGTCAAGTAGTTATGTTTCATAATATCCAACTTCTAAACACCTCGTTCTACGGCCTCAGTCCTGGGTCTACAGCCTCAGTCCTGGGTCTACAGCCTCAGTCCTGGGTCTACAGCCTCAGTCCTGGGTCTACAGCCTCAGTCCTGGGTCTACAGCCTCAGTCCTGGGTCTACAGCCTCAGTCCTGGGTCTACAGCCTCAGTCCTGGGTTTACAGCCTCGGTCCTGGGTCTACAGCCTCGCCTCGGTCCTGGGTCTACAGTCTGTGTGTTTGTGGGAACGGATCACTCTCTCAATATCCCCCTCTGGACTTTCAAAGTTACAACGCGCATGCAGCACACAAAATATGCAGAGCTAAGTAGATGTACATGCTACTGGACAGTGGTCTTCCCACTCTCTATAGACCAATTTGTTTGTTATTATTGCATTTATCTGATTTGTTGCTGGTGAATTCACAACTTTGTAAAGTCCTCCGAGACGACTGCTGTCGTGGCTTAAGGCGATACACAAACACTGTATATTGAATCACATCAACCTTCGACGATCACGCTCAGCTCTAATTTACACATTATTCATTATTATAAAGGTAAAACAACATCATAAAGTACCAACAGCGTCTACAGGAGTAGGTTCTACAGTACAGCATGTCCTTCAGACTGTACCTTTGTGATTGTAACAAAAGTAATGTAAACCAGCAGAAAAGCAGCACTGTGGAATGTTCAAAATTCTAAAAAACACAAAAATAACAAACGTTGAGGTGATGGCGTGTAACAGTTGATGATTAGACCCATAGAACTGTTCTGATTGCTGTAAAGATTGTACTGTTCTGACCATATTCAGGGGTTCTGTGAGGCAAAAATCCACATTTTATATTTTCAAACATTGAGCATCTGTGGAGAGATCACACATGCAGTTCATGCTCGGCGGCCCCGGAATTTACAGGAACAAAAGGGTTTGGCCAAGAAGAATGGGAAGCTTTACTATCAGAGATCAGAGCCAGAGACCAGATAGTGGCTTAGAGAGAAACCAGAGAGGAAGAGACCAGAGAGAGAAACCAGACAGAGACCAGAGAGACCAGAGAGAGACCAGAGAGAGACCAGAGAGAGACCAGAGAGAGACCAGAGAGAGACCAGAGATAGAGATCAGAGATAGACCAGGGAGAGAGATCAGAGATAGACCAGGGAGATAGGCCAGGGAGATAGGCCAGAGAGAGGAACCAGAGGCAGAGACCAGAGAGAGTAAAAAGAGAGACCAGAGAGAAGGACCAGACAGAGATATATCTCAGAGAGAGAGAGAGAAAGACAGAGAGAGAGAGAGAGAGAGGCCAGAAGGAGGCCAGAAGGAGATCAAAGACAGACAGCAGAGGATAAAAAAAACCTCATCCACAGCTACCAAAAAAGACTCACAGCGGTCATAAATGTTAAAGGGCGACACACTACTGAGAACTGGGAAGTTTCTCACCTCATCATCACTTGGAAATAGTTATTCAGCACAGTGACTACTTTCAATCTCTGAACATGGACAGAAACAGAACCCTGTGAAATTTCAAGCACAACTAAAGTTCCACATGGTACCACGGTGAAAGCAGAGTCCACATAGAGACAAAACCATGAACCCGTTCTGACAGATGCAAACGTACCCCAGCTTTAACCAACGGGACTGTAATGCCGTACAGTGGAACAGTAGCGTTGAGGTGTCGGTTGTCTGCAATGGAGCTGCTAGCGCCACCTCAACTACACTGCAGACTTATGTAGAAGGCCGCCATTGTGGAGCCGCCCTGTTTCTCTATTTTCACAACAAACACACCGTGCACCTTGTTCTGCGGTGACCACGCCTCCAAATGCACGATTCCAGCAGACGTTGACATACCCCGGCTCAGAGCGCTGTCACTGGACTCGTGCTACGTGTAGTTAGCCACAAACAAGTTCATATTTGCTTGAATATGAAAACACTTATCTTGTTTTTTGATTGAGGATTAAAACAATTTCAATGTGACGTCTCGCTCAGGGCCATTGTCTGATTCTAATGTGGCTAACTCTTGCTAATGTGGCTAACTCTTGCTTTTGTGGCTAACTCTGGCTAACTCTTGCTTTTGTGGCTAACTCTGGCTAACTCTTGCTTTTGTGGCTAACTCTTGCTTTTGTGGCTAACTCTGGCTAACTCTTGCTTTTGTGGCTAACTCTGGCTAATTCTTGCTTTTGTGGCTAACTCTGGCTAATTCTTGCTAATGTGACTAACTCTGGCTATTTCTTGCTTATGTAGCCAACTCTTGCTAATGTGGCTAACTCTTGCTAATGTGGCTAACTTTGACTAACTCTTGTTAATGTGGCTAACTCTGGAGCTAGATACAGATTCAGTCTGAAGTTGCACCACTCCGACAGAACTGTAAATACTGAGGCCCGTGTACTTTATAGCAGCACTGTGAATAAACAGAAGGAACGCAATGGTAAATGCCTGTCTCGTGCATGTTTGAAATACATCAAAGCTGGGGTACTTAACTTATTAGCACTTGACTTTATTCATAAATAACATAGTTTGGTCCAACAAATCAGTCTTGTTTCTGATTTGCTCACAACATTTTACTATTACAACATGATGTCTTCATCTCATTAGAAGACATCTTGTGTGTAAGAAAGCACCCTGTGAGCAACTATTTGACTCTTTGGGCTGAAAGACAGGACCACTCACTCAGCCAATCAGCTTTTCCCCTCTTCTGTCAGAAAAAGCTGACCTCAAAACAAGAGAGGAACTAGCCACAGTTTATCCATATGTTATGGCTTTAAAGTTACGCACCCCAGCTTTACGCCGCCCCAAGTAAAAATAAGGTAAAGGCCTTTTAAGACAATTGGTGCATGGTTTTGAAAAGTACAAATGTAACAATATCAAGGGAGAAAGGGTTTTCTTGAAGCATTTACCAACTTGTTTGTGTCACTTCTGTAAGAGGCCTGGAGGTGGGACTGACTCCCAATGCTCTGCCAGTTCCTTCAATGTCATTCTCTCCAAACTGAGCATACTCTTCATCAGACTTCAGCAAGACCCAGAGTCTGGCAGGCGCAGTCAGGCGTGTCATTGTCCCAGGTCCAGGTGGATGCGGTGCTCGAACAGAGCTATGAGCAGCATGATGGAGAAGCCCAGCAGGATCCCCGCGTTCTGGAGCCCGAAGAACCCCCAGTGACTGAAGCCGTGCTCGCCCGCATTGTTGTGCAGCATCTCCGGTATCTGCGATGAACCGACAGGAAAGACTGTCACTGAACAACTCAGGCCTCTCCCCCCCCTCGATCTCTCCCTCCCCCTCTGGTCTCTCCCTCCCCCTCTGGTCTCTCCCTCACCCTCTGGTCTCCCTCTCACCCTCTGGTCTCCCTCTCACCCTCGGGTCGCTCTCACACCCTCGGGTCTCTCGGGTCTCTCTCTCACCCTCGGGTCTCTCGGGTCTCTCTCTCACCCTCTCACCCTCGGGTCTCTCGGGTCTCTCTCTCACCCTCTCACCCTCTGGTCTCGCTCGCTCTCCCACTCTGGTCTCGCTCGCTCTCCCACTCTGGTCTCGCTCGCTCTCCCACTCTGGTCTCGCTCGCTCTCCCACTCTGGTCTCGCTCGCTCTCCCACTCTGGTCTCGCTCGCTCTCCCACTCTGGTCTCGCTCGCTCTCCCACTCTGGTCTCGCTCGCTCTCCCACTCTGGTCTCGCTCGCTCTCCCACTCTGGTCTCGCTCGCTCTCCCCCTCTGGTCTCGCTCGCTCTCCCCCTCTGGTCTCGCTCTCCCCTCTGGTTCGCTCTCCCCTCTGTCTCGCTCTCCCCCTCTGGTCTCGCTCTCCCCTCTGGTCTCGCTCTCCCTCTCTGGTCTCGCTCTCCCTCTCTGGTCTCGCTCTCCCTCTCTGGTCTCGCTCTCCCTCTCTGGTCTCGCTCTCCCTCTCTGGTCTCGCTCTCCCTCTCTGGTCTCGCTCTCCCTCTCTGGTCTCGCTCTCCCTCTCTGGTCTCGCTCTCCCTCTCTGGTCTCGCTCTCCCTCTCTGGTCTCGCTCTCCCTCTCTGGTCTCGCTCTCCCTCTCTGGTCTCGCTCTCCCTCTCTGGTCTCGCTCTCCCTCTCTGGTCTCGCTCTCCCTCTCTGGTCTCGCTCTCCCTCTCTGGTCTCGCTCTCCCTCTCTGGTCTCGCTCTCCCTCTCTGGTCTCGCTCTCCCTCTGTCTCGCTCTCCCTCTCTGGTCTCGCTCTCCCTCTCTGGTCTCGCTCTCCCTCTCTGGTCTCGCTCTCCCTCTCTGGTCTCGCTCTCCCTCTCTGGTCTCGCTCTCCCTCTCTGGTCTCGCTCTCCCTCTCTGGTCTCGCTCTCCCTCTCTGGTCTCGCTCTCCCTCTCTGGTCTCGCTCTCCCTCTCTGGTCTCGCTCTCCCTCTCTGGTCTCGCTCTCCCCTCTCTGGTCTCTCGCTCTCCCTCTCTGGTCTCGCTCTCCCTCTCTGGTCTCGCTCTCCCTCTCTGGTCTCGCTCTCCCTCTCTGGTCTCGCTCTCCCTCTCTGGTCTCGCTCTCCCTCTCTCTGGTCTCGCTCTCCCTCTCTGGTCTCGCTCTCCCTCTCTGGTCTATCCTCTCCCTCTCTGGTCTATCCCTCTCCCTCCTCTCTGGTCTATCCCTCTCCCTCTCTGGTCTATCCCTCTCCCTCTCTGGTCTATCCCTCTCCCTCTCTGGTCTATCCCTCTCCCTCTCTGGTCTATCCCTCTCCCTCTCTGGTCTATCCCTCTCCCTCTCTGGTCTATCCCTCTCCCTCTCTGGTCTATCCCTCTCCCTCTCTGGTCTATCCCTCTCCCTCTCTGGTCTATCCCTCTCCCTCTCTGGTCTATCCCTCTCCCTCTGCTCTGGTCTTCCTCTCCCTCTCCCTCTCTGGTCTATCCCTCTCCCTCTCTGGTCTATCCCTCTCCCTCTCTGGTCTATCCCTCTCCCTCTCTGGTCTATCCCTCTCCACTCCCTCTCTGGTCTATCCCTCTCCCTCTCTGGTCTATCCCTCTCCCTCTCTGGTCTATCCCTCTCCCTCTCTGGTCTATCCCTCTCTCCCTCTCTGGTCTATCCCTCTCCCTCTCTGGTCTATCCTCTCCCTCTCTGTTCTATCCCTCTCCCTCTCTGGTCTATCCCGCTCCCTCTCTGGTCTATCCCTCTCTCTCTCTGGTGTCTCTCTCTCTGGTGTCTCTCTCTCTGGTGTCTCTCTCTCTGGTGTCTCTCTCTCTGGTGTCTCTCTCTCTGGTGTCTCTCTCTCTGGTGTCTCTCTCTCTGGTGTTTCTCTCTCTGGTGTCTCTCTCTCTGGTGTCTCTCTCTCTGGTGTCTCTCTCTCTGGTGTCTCTCTCTCTGGTGTCTCTCTCTCTGGTGTCTCTCTCTCTGGTGTCTCTCTCTCTGGTGTCTCTCTCTCTGGTGTCTCTCTCTCTGGTGTCTCTCTCTCTGGTGTCTCTCTGGTGTCTCTCTCCCTCTGGTCCCTGTCTCCCTATGGTCTTTCTCTCTCTGTGGTCTCTGGTCTTTCTCTCTCTCTCCCTTTGGTCTCTTTCTTCTCTAGTCTCTCTCCCCCTCTGGTCTCTCTCTGGTCTCCCTCTCTCTCTGGACAGTGTTCAGAGTGGTCCTGTGGCACCTGCACCTGTCTGGGCAGCAGGTGGGACAGAGTGGGACACACACACCTGCTGCTGTCACCACTTCAGGCTCTCAGCTGTTAGTCTCACACACACATCACACATTTACAGCTCTGTCCACAGGAATCACACAGTCACACATTTCAAACACTACATTTAGACTGATGACAGATCATTCCTGGAACAATCCACATGAAACACAATCTGTCCCCAAGTTCCACAACTTCTTTGTCAGGACATACTGTATCAACAAAGGTCTCTGGTCTCTCTCGCTCTCTCTGGCCTCTCTTGCTCTCTGGTCTTTCCCCTCACTTTCTGGTCTCTGGCCTCTCTCTCGCTCTCTCTGGCCTCTCTCGCTCTCTCTGGCCTCACTCTCTCTGGCCTCACTCTCTCTGGCCTCACTCTCTCTGGCCTCACTCTCTCTGGCCTCACTCTCTCTGGCCTCACTCTCTCTGGCCTCACTCTCTCTGGCCTCACTCTCCCTTCTCTTATTTGAGATGATTAATTTCTCAACAGCAGAAGGAAAGAAGCAATTTTGCTCTAACCTGGCACGCTGAACTGCATTTACACATGTTCAGTCAATTAATGTGCAATCTACATAAAAACAAATCCAAAGATTAAACACTAGATTACTAAAATAATTGTTAAAAGTCAGAAGGTGTTTGACTCACCATATCCACCAGGGCCACGTACATGAAGAGGCCCGCGGTCAGAGCAAAGACCCACATGGACACGTTCTCGGCGTAGTGACCGATCAGGATGCCCGTGCCCATGCCCAGGTACCCCATCATGGCCGACAGCACGTTGTACATAATGGCCTGCTTCACCGTCATACCTGCCTTCAGCAGCACCGCAAAGTCCCCTGGGAAACACAGTCAAACAAGGAGCGTAAGAAGGAGACCCTGTTCTGACCTGGATTCAAACCCAGGACCTTCTTGCTGAGAAACAGGAGAGCTATCCACTCCAGACTGGTTAGGAATTGTCAAGAACTTGTGTGTGGATGTATCTAAACAACTCCAGGTCTGTGACTGATGAGAAACAATGTTGCGAAAAATAAGTAGTGGATTTTTTTACCGAGTTCATGCGGCAGCTCGTGGCAGAAGACGGCCACACTGGTGCTGAGGCCACTGGACAGACTCTCTGTGAATGCAGCTCCTACACACACAAACCAGCTTTAACAAGAAATTACACTTCAACATTTTACCCCATTTTATAAATCTGTTTGACCCCTAATGGAATCAGGAGTTGTTTCTCGCTCTCTCTCTGGCTCTCTGGTCCCTCTGGTCCCTTCTGGCTCTCTGGTCCCTCTCGCTCTTTGGTGCCTCTGGTTCTCTAGTGCCTCTCGCTCTCTGGTCCCTCTCGCTCTCTGGTGCCTCTCTGGTCTGAGTGTGAGAAGTGTTACCGATGGCTAGTCCGTCGCTGAAGTTGTGCAGGCCGTCCCCCATGACGACCATCCAGGCAAGCGAGGTAATGCCGGCCCCCTCCAGGTGCCCCAGGCCGTGGGAGTGAGAGTGCGAGTGAGGGTGGTGGTTCTGAGAGTGGTGGTGGTGGAGGATGTGGTGGTAGTCGTGGTGATGGTGGTGTTCCTGGCTGGGCGCTCCCACCGTATCATGGAAGTGGGAGTGGCACTTGTTGTGACAGTCTGGCTCGCTGTAGCCCTCAGCTGGGACCTGCACTGCGGGGGTCAACATCACCTGCTCCTCCTCCACCAGCCCAGCAGGGAGCGCCACCTCCACCTCTGCACACACACACACAGCATAATCCTTTAGGCCTCAAATCAACCCTGTGTCAGTTGTCTGCCCCAGGTCTCCGAGACCATTGCTCTTGTGCTTGAGTCTTCAGACCAATCAGAGCATGTAATGCTTGGGCACCTTTTCTCCGTTGGTTTTGGATCTTATGATTGTTGTCCATGTATTTATTGGTTTTTGTGGGATTGTTTTTATAGTTACATTTTTGGTAATGTTTTGTGGTACCTTTTTGTAATCTATATTTCTTTATATTTTGCAGTATAAGAAAAAAATACACATAAAAGTATTTTCCAAAAGCGAAAATACAGAAGTATCATTAACCCTGTGTATGGTGAGGCAAGAAAGCCTTCCCTAAGGTTAGGACTTGAAATCGCCGACAACCTCTAACATGTGCAGAGACTCGGGAAGCTCATTCCAAATCCAAGGCTGTTACAATAATCCAGTCGCGAGGAAACAAAAGAATAGACAGTCATCTCTTGCTCGTGACCTCGGAGCATGTGAAAGAGATCAGACAAAGAGACCAGAGAAGAACATGTGAGCGTTCTGACCAATCAGTTTCGCTGATCCGAGCGAGTTTGTGCCTCAAAAAGGTGGATTTACAGAAAACCCAGAGATTTCAAAAGAAAAAAAAAAATCATGATGACAAGAGACACTAAAATTCCCACAGAATCCTCCTTTGTGAACGCTATAGTTCCCTGTAGGACGAGCCGTTTTATGGTAACTGCTCAAATGTCTACTCCGTGTTTCAAGATTTGTCAAAAATAAGTGATTGATTCTATGTTGTGCGTCTGCAGGACTCTCACAAAGAGGCCGCTTCTATCCAGTCTCCATGGTAACAACTAAAACTGGAGATATTTTGACATATACATAGTTATCAATTTTACGCAGCATCTGACTCCAGAAGAAAGCAACCATTATTCGTCCTTATTGTAAGTTCTTCTTGATAAATGTATGGTCATGTATCCATTAGGGTTGGGCGATATGGGCCTCAGCATGTATCAGGATTTTTGTTGGTACGTATCACGATATGACGATATGATAATTTTAACAAAGCCTCATATAAAAGCTATAAAAACTTAGCACTGATAATTTTAAACACACTTGCCTCAAAGTGCATTTACTGATTTATTGGCAGCAAAATGTGCAATACAGCTATTGTATATAAAACGTATTAACAAAACTGAATTGTAGAGAATTCTGTTTTGTACATACTGAAAATTGCAGGCATCAGGTAATAAAGGTGAACATTTGTAATTTGTAAAATATATAAAAGTTTGTCCTTTGTAATATAAAAAGTGTAGCATTATCAAATAATTATTTGATCACTTTGGCTTATGTTTCCTAATCCCAATATAGTCAAAATGATCAAATACTGTATATATTTTTTGTATCCTTTTGCGTTTCTATAATTATGTAATTATAACTTATTTGTAATTATATTGCAATGTAGACAAACACATGCATTGAAGTAAAATGAATGACAGTAAACAGTAAATAAAGCTTACCAATGGCACTATGAGAGAGAGAGAGAGAGAGAGTGATCAAAGGAAATGGAAACACGGTCCCCATTTATAACATTATAATGTTAATGTTTAGAGTTTGGGTGACGGATAGTTTTTTTCTAAATATCCATAATTTTAGAAAATAGACTCGAAAATTTGTGGTTTATCAATTATAAAAAAAATGGTTTTTTGGCTGGTTTAGTCATATAATCACAACAGAAGTCATATCCGAGGATTTTACACAGAAACTGTCGATTTAACAGACTTACGGAGAAACAAAACAGGCTTAGGAACAAGGACACAGGGGGCGGGTGTCTATACAGTAAAGGTAATTAAATGTCCATAATTCTCTAAAATGACTCGGGGTCATCACTGTCCTTTTGACCCTCCTTCATCGGCAAGAATCAGAAAAAAACCATGAGAGAGGGATTCCGGCTCCCACCAGCGACGGACGTAGAAACCAGCTCCTGAGCCAAATCAACAAATAAAGGGCTTGATAAAGAGTCTACGTTAGATTAGTCTCACCATTGTAAGTTGAAACTACAGAAGTAAATACACTTATGAAGTGGATATTCTACTTTTCTGAGTCGGCCTGTATGTAACGCAGTCAACACAGATTCTAACCCATAAATCTTTTGTCTGCGTTTTGCCAGATTGAATTGAAATAGTTTTAGAGTTAGCCAAAGAGCTTTCGTGCCATTGCTCCTGGAGACGTTTGTCATTTTTCCTATCTTTGAATAATGCCTGAAACATAAAAGATTCTTGGGCTAATTTCTTCATTTTATTTATATGAAACAACAAAAAACAGTATTTCTTTCTGCAACAACTGGAGGAATTGTAAGACTGAGAACAAAAACTGATTCATTTTCATCACATATAAAATGTTTATAGTAGCATTTATTTTTAGGAAAGAAAATGACAAAAGTGGTTAGGCTCTAGCTTTTATCAACAAGAAGGGTTCAAGTTTTCTACTAATTAATGTCAGTTTCTAGTGTCTGTGGCAAAGGAATGTGCTTCAATGAGGAGGTGGAATTTCTGATTTAAGCAGCTTAAATCTTGGACACGGTCATCCTGAAAATGTGAGACAGGCTTTCTTTTCTCTGACAATGTTCAAAGCAGGTAGAAAAAAGCTCTGTTTAGCTTGCAACAACTGAATGGATTATCTTTTTATTCTGTCTTATTTTTGTTAAGTATTGTTCTGGTTTATTTCTCTAGCACATTTTACAGACCAAGCGCTTTTCAATGTTCAGAAGTAATCAGATATTTTTCCATTCTAACCACACCGGTGATGACGGAATGTGGAGACGGGCCAGACTCACGGGTCCGATCAAAGCCTTCGCACTTAACCCATCCATTCACTCACTCATTACATTCATCGTGCTTGTTTATAGAGGTAGGGAAACGGACGCGCACGGAGGACAACCTACGCAGAACACAGTGAGAAACATGTAAAATCTCACTATGAAAGGCCCTGTTCCGACGGGATTTGAACCAGGACCTTCTTGCTGAGGAAGCGAGCCAGTTAGTACTGTGAGTTCCCTTGTGTATGAACGTGCTATACAAATAAACCTTGCCTTAATTATATTTTAATAAAACACATGGTAGCCAAAAATCCGAGGGTTGTTAGCTAAGATGCTATTTGTCATTTGTCCTGTCGTTAGGCCATTGTGTTAAAAAAGCAACAAAAAAATTCCAAACATAAATAAATTATTGATTTCCTATTAATAATAGGCAGTTTGCGTGGGCTGGGTTGTGCTTGATGGGAGGATCGATGGGAACCACAATGAGACGTACCAAAATCTCTAACGTGCTAAAGCTAATCGGTTGAACCTTTCCCTTTTAATGTACTGTTATAATGTCTGTTGTGATGCCTTGTTTTGCTACACACTTTGAGGTGCCTTGTTGTGTGAACTGTGCCTTACAAATAACCTGCCTTTGCCTTATCATCACATGGAGGTATCATGCACCAGACCGAAAAAATCTTCCACTCTCTCCCACGTTTTGTGTGTTCATTCCCAGTTCACACTCTTGTCACTAATAAAAGCAGAGAGCGTCAAAAACAAGTCTTTTCAAAACTTGTAAAGAAGGCGAGTTGTGGCAGGTCTTGATGGCAACACTTTACTGATGAGGAAATTTCTATAGGGTGATTTAGCTATTTATAACATGAATGTGAGGAATGAATCTATCTAGCTTAATCAACATCGGCAACGATACAGCCACAGAATTTAAGTAAGGTACTTTCGAAGATGTCATGTTATTATAAAAATCCATTAGGTAGTATATATGGGTGTGGACTCAAAACACTCTGAGAAATAATCAAGTACTACCCAATATATGAGTAATTGTAACAGACAAAAGACAAATGTATGCTTGTTGTCAATTAAAGCTGGGGTATCTAACTTTCATAACCACAAACAGCAGTTTCTCTCTCTCTCAAAAAGTTTGGTTCCATCATGATAGTTTTCACATATATTTTTTTGCCTCGTGTTGTGTGTGTGTTTTGTCTTTTGCCAATGAGTGTGTGTGTGCGTGTTGTTTGTCATTTTTGTGTGTATTATGTGTGTGTGTGTGCCGTTGTAATGTTTGTTGTTTGTTATATGTGTGTATAGGTGTATTTTTGTGTGCATGTGTGAGTAGTATAAGATCATAGACACGCTTGTTGGGCAAAGAGACAGACACGGCATCGGTCCAGGTCCCGTTTCTGTCTGGCTCCTTTCTGCGCAGAAATGTCATTTTTGTACTCATCACTTCTGTGAATAAACTGCACAAAAGGACAAGTTTGTTTCCTCTCGGAATTATTTCATTTGAAGCATCAGAATTCCCATAACAAACCACAGCGTCACCTTCTTTCCACAGTCCAAATCCAGGGAACAGAGGCTCAGTCAAGGAAGAGGTGCAGGTGTGGATGTGGGACAGTTCTCCATCCGAGCGAAGGTGAAAGAAGGACAGAGATCCAGCATCAGGGTCCAGGAACACAGACACTCGACCACAGGGACCGGCGGAGGAGTAGGAGTGGAACATGGCGGAGAGGAATGTTCTTCTGTTGTTGTGAAGGAAATAGTAACCGTCGACACTGACCCTCAGACTCCAGGACCGATCATTGGCTCCAAACTCACTCTCCTCTGTTGTTCCACTACGTCTGATTCCTCTGTGACTCAGTGCGATATCAACTGTCCCCCACCCGCTCCACTCCACCTCCCAGTAACAGCGCCCCCTCAGGCCAGTGCTGCTCAGGACCTGTCTCTGCTCTGTAAATCTGTCCTCATGATCTGGACACTGCTGCTCCTCTTCCTCAAACTTCACTGTCCATTTGTCCTCAGACAGTTTGAGGTTTCTGTGAGCTGTGTTTGGATCCAGAGAAAACTCACAGGAATCTGAGGAGACAAAAATGTGATGTCATTTCCTTTACCATGATTAATTTATTTGATATTCTCAGCTGTTCTATGAATCTAACTAAGTTGTAAGCTAACAGCTGTCAAGTTAGCCACAGGACGCGTCATTGGCCTACGCCAGAAAAAAAATGCGGCAACTCAACAAGAAAGGGACTGCTATGCTGCTATCACACCGTAGCAGTGTGGTTCGACAGCAGTTGACTTCTTAAACCAAACTTTACACAAAATATTGACTCTTAAAACCCACATGTCACAACATGGAACCATCAACATCTCGCCTCAAATTGCATTAAAAGTGACATCCGTGTCTTAATTTGTTCGTATATTTACACTTTTAAAGCGATTCACAGACTTTGTGTCCGCCATCTTGGTTTGCTTCAGCTGCCGTGAAAAGCGCACGCTCAGGTTTGTCACATTCAGGAATCCCTTCAAAATGACTTTGACCCTATACAAAATTGGCTTATCCAAAACTATCTTATGATAAATAGTAAAAAGTCATACAGTATGTTTTTCAGGAAACAAATGGGTACGAACCTACACAATCTCTCAATAACGTATTAGGATGAAACTCTAATGCAAAACACAATATAATGCAGCTACCAAATGCTGTCAGCAATATTTCAGTAAATATTGGGCTAGGAGATAGCCTGGCCTTAGCCATCCGTATCCTCTGCTCAAAGATCATTTCCCTGCATGTAACGTCTGGGTCTGGTCCCTGTCTTAACGATTACAATCGGTTGAATTCCACTCGACCAATCAGCGAGCGCGGGAGGCGGGTGTTGTAGTTAGTTGTGGGTGACGTCAAGAGTTTGCGCCGTACGGGTAGGTTGTAGTTTGGCAATGGCAAAGAATGCGATAGTAAAGTATTCCGGTCTGGTTTTATCAAGAAATTTAAGCAGGAGCAAGAGGAATGTTTAACAAATGTAATTGCTTTCAAAGATTGTGGCGCTACTGCCCACGGGCTTTGTTAGCAACAAAGGAGATGGCTAGGCTAAATGCTAACGACAGACTCGGGCGCATTACATACGTCACGGTAAACTCAGATCCAATCGTTTCAATCTGCAAAAGGAGTTAACCCCTCCCACCTGTTAACGGAGCTCAATGGAGCACCTCCAGACCTTAGTACGAAATGTAATTTGTACTATGGTGTGGTACGACCAGACTAGCTAGGAGAGGGCCAGTACCATAATCATACATTTCGGACTTATGTACAAATGGCTGCATTACAAAGGAGGGTCACTAGTCACTTTACCTGTTGATATTATTACTGATGTTTATTCTGCTCATATTCTTTGCTGTTTAAGAACAATATACACATCTGTAAATACTCCTGAACCAAGTGCAATTATAGCTCCAGAGTTTATTTTATTTTATTCTTTATCTTATTTTGATTATTTTGTCTATTATCTTAAATAACAGACTATTTGATGTGTGCAATCTGAGTGCTCTTATTTCCTTCTTTCTCTGCTCTAATGTGCGCAACGATGACACTAAAATGTCTCCACTGTGAGACGAATAAAGGAATATCTTATCTTAATGAATATAAAGGGAGCAAAACAGTTCTCATAGAACTATCCAATTAGTGATTTTGTTTTTAGTAACTGCTCACATCAGGTAATCAGAGCTCACAGAGGGGAGAGACAATACAATGCTGCTTCATTGTATTGTCAATGTCTGCTCTGTTCCGCCCTGTTCCTGGTTCCCTGAATTGTTGAGTTTTGTTTTCGCCTGGACTTTTATTTTATAATCATTAAACCATTATTCTTACCATTACTGCATTTTCCTAAGGACTCAGCAGAAGGCTTGTTCCACCCCACACCTGCTCCCATTTCATCACGAGTCACCAGGTTTTTGTTTTGTTTTTTGTTTTTACATTTTCCGGCCATCCTCACTGCCTACCTCTCAACCTGCCGCCTCAAACAACCGCCAGGCAAGTATTCCGTCTGGGATGGTTATTTGTCCTGCACCACCGCAATATTGTCTGTCCGGGGTGGTCCTCTTTTCCCTTCCCTTCACTTGATGAGAGAGGTACCCAGTGGAGTCCTGCGCTGGATGTGGCACACCCTCAGTCTGCTGCTCAATGGGGACCTCTCCTCCCCTTTGCCTGTTGACACCGCCAGACATGATCTCCGTCTGGGGCGGGGTTCTGCCCTGCCTGAGTCACCACCGGGCATTTGTCTCCGTCCGGGGTGAGCCAGTTCCCTACTCTCCAGACCCTTAGGAGGGTCGCCACTGGGCTTCAGTTCCTGCTCCTGACCTGTGCCAGCCATTGTACTGCCTTCTGCCCATCCTCCAGAGCACCTCCACCCTCCATCACGTTTATTTTAGGGACATGTGGAAGTTGTCCTTTGGAGGGGGGACAATCAACAATCTCCTGTTGATTGTCTGCCCCGCCCTAATGTGCCCCCTATGCTCCTCTCCCTTTGTTTCTGGTTCATTGTATTATCAATGTCTGTTCTCTTTCTTCCTGCACCTGATTCCCTGGATTTTTGAGTTTTGTTGAAAAATGAACTAAATGAGAAACAAAGACTCACACTTCCTCAGACCTGGAACCATCCACTGTTCTCCTGCAGGGTCCAACCTGAAACACACAAGGCAAATTTAGGCATGGACAAGGACTAAAAGCTTCTTTGACTAGACTAAAGCAGGGTCAAACCTGAGCTCCTGCAGCGGGCAGTGTGGGTCGTCCTGTAGAGCCTTCAGCAGCTCTGATGAACCGCCTGGATTATTGTAGCTCAGGTCTAACTCTCTCAGATGGGAGGGGGCGATGCTTGGATGAGAGGAGGCGGGATTCAGAGCTGAGGCCAGAGCAGCCCCGCCCATCTCTGAGATCAGACATCCAGAAAGCCTAAAGACAGACAGTGTTAGGCCCCGTCCCAATACTCGCACTTCCACCCTTGCGCCCCTCATTTGCGCGTCCCCGATAAAGGGTGCGAGTGCGTAGGGTGTCCCAATTCTCCAGGGAGGTCTTTGGCCCCGCCCCCTTTGCGCCCCTGATCCACACTTCGCCGTAGCCTGCATCTATGCGCACTCTGGCGAAGGATATTGCCCATAATTCTTTGCGGTACACACCAAAACGTCGGGAAAATGCATTTAAATATACATTTTGAAATATATATGCTGTATGTGTGTAAATAAGTTTTGCTATGTTACTTGGAAAGAAGCATAAACGTCTGATGAAAAATTACGGACATTGTGTTTTAACAATTTAATAACTTTTTAAAGCAAGAGTTCATATAACATTCAATTTAAACTTTACACTTAGTAAAATAATCTTAGAATGTATAAAAACTGACCAGATAGTTAGTTACCCACATTTAACTTAAAATTATACAACTATCTCTAATTAAAAACCACTCATATACATGTATTTTAACGTGTGTGAAGCAATTCATTTTGTTTCCCACAGGGTCAGACAAAGTTTAGGTCTGAAAATGACCATCTCTTGACGAGTCGATGACGTAACCTGCACTCAGTGTGCACTGTCCCAATTCCGCCTTTTGTGCACGCTTGCAACCTGCGCACTCAAACCCTTGCGCGCACTTCAAACAAATGCACACTTCATAGGAGGGCGTAGGGTGCAGTGTGGGTATTGGGACTGGGCCTTACACTCATGTGGACACAGAGGCATCATGGGAGTCTCACCTGAGAGTGTGGAGTGCACAGCGGGCACTTTTCAGACCAGAACACAGCAGCTCCACTCCTGAGTCCTTGAGGTTGTTGTTACTGAGATCTAGGTGTGTGAGACAGGAGGAGCTGAGGACTGAGGCCAGAGAATTACAGATGGAAGAGGTCAGATCACAACCCCTCAAGCTGAGGACAGAGACACATTAGAGACTAGAACATCCACAGAAGAGATCAACACAGTCTGGACTCACAGGGCTTTGGTGGAGGCTCTGACCACCGGCAGCAGACCCAGGAGAGCTCTCTCTGAGGCCCGATATTTCCTCAGGTCAAACTCCTGCAGGTCTGAGTCTGAGGACAGTAAGACAAAGGGGATTTCTCCTCTCTGATGTACTTCTGTATCTGCTGCACCAGACTTAGGTCGTTCAGCTCCACCAGAGAGTGGTGCAGGTTCAGGCTTCTCTCTGCAGACATATCATCATCATCCAGCTTCTCTTTGATGTACTTAATTGTCTTTACTGAGCCACTTGTCTGAGTCAGCAGACCTGACAGCAGCCTCTGATTGGTCGGCAGAGACAACCCAAGCAGGAAGCGCAGGAACAGGTCCAGGTGTCCGTTTGGACTCTGTAAGGCCTGGTCCACAGCACAGCGGTGTAGAACAATCTGGTTTGTAAACAGTCGTCTAAAGAAAGATGTTGGTTGGACCTTCAGCAGGTTTACTTTAGACTTTGAGAAGGTCTGATGGACGTGTAGAGCAGCCAGAAACTCCTGCACACTCAGATGGATGAAGCAGTAAACCTTGTCCTGGTACAGGCCTGGCTCCTCTCTAAAGACCTGTGTGAAGACACCGGAGTACACTGAGGCAACTTCAGCGTCCAGCCCACACTCGCTCAGGTCACAGTCGTAGAAGATCAGGTTTCCTCTCTGCAGCTGCTCAAAAGCCAGTTTTCCCAGATACTTCACCATCTCCCTGGTCTGTGGAGTCCAGTGAGCCTTCTCTGAACC